GAAAAATGTAATTGGTTAACCCACAAAAATTGAAAAGAAATTGAAAGATAAATGACCGGACAAGAATTTCATTTGTGTTTCAGAAATCTCAGGGATGTTGGCGTGCATGCTATTGGGCCCTGAACAGTGCTGATTTTACACTGTTTTCAATGGGGCTTGAAATAGTGGACTGTACAGGTACTAGGTGAGAGAAGTGGCCAAACTTACACATGTCCCGCCCAGCCGGCCCGACTCGATGAGACCTACTGAAACACCGAATTCTGCAGCTCGTCTGGCGCTTGCAATACCCCCAGAACCTCCACCTATTACCAGGTAATCAAATGACTTCGGCACAGGAGGCATGCTGCAGAATGTCCTTTTCCAGAAGTGACGAGAAGCAAATAACTTTATCCGGCCGCAGACAACATTCACCACAAGCCTCGTACACATGTACATCGTTTAATCCTTTTACGTTAGACGCCCAATCACTAAGTCTAAGAACATATCAAGCCGAGAGTTTTGGGCTTTAAAAGAGTATATTTGTGCCCTTCAGTCGCCCAATCAGCTCAAAGCGTTTCCCTGGTGCCCATGCCTTCACTAGCCTTTTTTACGAATGGATGGCAGCTCACCAGCTAATGGCAATTGGACGTTAAAGGTTAAAAGAAGTAGGTACTTGAGTGCTGAAATCGACGTTAAAAATGGTAAATTTCAACAAACACATCTCCCTTGTGTGTTCACAATATACAGGCTTTATTTTTGCTTTATTCACTGCTTTAATGCAGAAAATTAAGCTTCAAAATAGATTTTGTGTTTATTTTTCAATAGGCTATATTATCAAAATATTGCCACATTTATTGACATGATTGATGACGACTACTGAACATGCTGAGTGAGTGCACAAAATGATCCGGGCCAGCAAGAAATTTTGAAGTTTTAATTAGGACTTTTTGTAACTGTAGCCAAATACAGAGATGCGGAATGCTCTTCCTGTTCCAAACTAGGAAGACTGTTATGTTGTTAATAATTAAATCGGAATTTTCAGAATGGATATCTTTTTTTTGAAATGGTTCCTCCATGGTATGAAGTAAATCATATTGTTTCTCTTTCATGTCTTTACTTTGTTTACATTGTAGGTGTGTACTGAAGGGGTTCTGGTATGATAAACATGTTCCCGTTTATTCTGTCTTCTGAGGATCTAGCCATGTCCTGAGTGCCTTGAAGGACTGCGGAGGATAAAGAGATCAGAAATGGGCCTCCTTAAGTTAATGTTAAGGAGTTAAACTCCAAAGAGGATTCTCAGCACGGAGTGGCTAACTACTATGCAGCATACATGGGACCTTGGGGACGTGCATATAGAAATGACCTCACCAACAGCCTCAGGCCCCAGCACCTCGAACAATCATGTCAATCTGAAGGATTTTTTGTCCTGCACAGGCTACTCGTTGGACCGTGATCACGACAGGCAGGCGTTTCATGCCGACATCAGTGCAGACAGTGGCCAGCAAGTTTCGGGGTTTACCAAGTCCACTGTGGCGAGCCCAAGGGGCCGCTCGAGTCTGACGAACCTCATGCTGCCCAAGATGCGACGCCGACCCTTCCAGTGCAAATACTGCACGTTCTCCTGCCCGTCGGCGACCAACCTGTCCATTCACATGCGGATACACACGGGGGAGAAGCCCTACAAGTGCGGCACCTGTTCCTATGCCTCTGCACGGAAGCAGAACCTTTTCCGCCACATGTCGACAGTCCACAAGGCAGATCGCGTGACCATGTGTGGTCCTGCCCAGGCCACGAGCGCGTACCCCATCGCTCTTCAGAGCAGCAGCGAAGAGAGGATGCCCGTAGTTGAAAGCGTCTACGGGGGTGTCCAGGACGTGGTCTTGATCGACGGAGACCCGGTGAAGATTGTCGGGGGCGACCAAGGGAACTTTCCCACATCCGACACTGCCTCCTCAAGTCCACACATCTCGCAGGTTTACCCCCGCCAGAGTGCCAGCAGTAACTCCCAGCAGGAGGATGTCATTGAAATTATACCAACAACCAGCTCCACTCCAGTCACCGAATATTCAACAAGGCACTACGCAGATGGCAGCAGGTTTATTTTTGCTGGTGGCGTAGCAGCCACTGCCAACTCTGCATCGACTAAAATTGGTGCAGAACAAACTTCGGCGCTTGATCACCAGTTTGACAGGACTAAAGAAACTCCACAGCCCCAAACGCAGACAGGCATCCTGAATAATGAAGTTCACTCAGTACAGGTACAGAGAGTGGTATCTCCGGACGAATCTTCAGTGAGCAAATCGGAAGGTCCCGTCCAGCCTCCAGTGTACAAGGAACCAATCACTGGGGCTCTGAAGAGGAAACAAGGCAGGGCCACCAGCCACTCAACACTGAAGAATATCTTGGACAGTCCACTGATGCTGCCCAAGAGGGTTAGCACTAGCCCAACATTAGTCTCGTCCAAAAGCTTGGAACCTCTGGAAAAGACGAGCACGGAGATAAAGATCATCCAGAGTGAAGAGGACCTTGATGAGGTTCTAGAAGGAAGGCGACGGATGGGTATCCACGTTGCCCCATCAGGCGCTCGCAGGCAACAGGACTTCACGCCAAGTCCCAGAAGTTTGAACGGAGGTCCCATGGCAGAGTCTCCCTTCTCCTACTCGAGAGAGACTCCGGGCATTGTTTACTTCCCCGAAACTAATACCTCAGGTGGTGTGAAAGAAGTTGGCGCGCCATCTGCAGATGCCATTCCTTCGGCTCAGGCAAGCATGGTCAAGCAGAGACACCTGTCTATGACGAAACCATCCCTAGCCCAAAAGGTCAATGAACAGAGAGGAAAAACTGACCATGAGGATTCTGATGATGTAGTTATGGTCATGGATGCTCCCAGAAGACCCTTTTCTGCTGGCAATTTCAGTCAGAGACATTTTCTGCAGCAAGCCGTTGAAAACCCAAGCCAGCTGAACACCAAAAGTTATTCCTCTGCCGTTAATGACAAAAAAGATTTACCTGAAAGGTATTCTTTCCATAATCCAAACACCTTTGGCAGAAGGCATCGCACAACAACGACATTGGACATTGACCGTGAACAGAAGTTGCGGCGCAACATTCCCCTCAAGGACTCGCGAGCTAGTCTTGCGCGAACAGCGTTGACCATACAGGTTGACCTGAACAAGCTCTTGTGTTGCGCCGCTAGAAAATGGTTGAAGTCGCACCTTGTGGAATGTGATGTGTGCGAGATCAACCTGCCCACGGAACGGGAGGAGTCCAGCTTCTCGAGTGGAACCACCAGGTGTAGTCGTGGGCAAAGCTGGGCTCAAGAGAATGACGATGGTTACCTCAGGAGAGCAAGGGGTGCCACCAGTGATGACCAAGTTGGTGGGATGAGTAGTAACATCTTCTCGTCAAGGGGTTTAGACATTGGTGCAGGTTCAGCAAACCAAGTACATCTTGGAGATGCTGTTGCCACAAACACAAGGAAAAGACAGATTTGGGATGGACAAGATGAAAGTGGAATGTTGTGTTCCAGGCAAAAACAGTCATGTTTATCGTCACGCAGTGAGCATCTCAACTTTGCCAAGACGGCAGTCATCAGCTCATCTAGTGCGCCGATTTCTTCCACCTTCATCAGATCGCGTACTATGGATCAGCCAACAGAATGTGTCGACGAACCTCAAGAAAGTACCGAGTATATCGCCTTCTTGAACGCTGAACTGGCTCGGGGGAAATCGACCGCGGGTAGACGGGGCCCGAAATCGAAGCACATCTGCGACATCTGCAGGAAGGTGTGCCGGTCCAGAGCACAGCTGCTGGGCCACCGCCGCACGCATATCGAGACCAGCCAACTCTACCGCTGCGCAGTCTGCCGCTACTGCACGCTGCACTACAAGCTCCTGAAGCGGCACATCGCCGACAAGCACCCCACAGGCACCAAGAGGAGCGCGTTCACCGAGTGCCGGATCTGCAAGAAGGCCATCCGGGTCACAGCGGTGGCCTCACATGTGCGGACCGTGCACGGACGGGGCCTACAGGTTGCCGACGGGAGATCGTACAACGGAGGAAATGCTGACCAAGTCAAACTTTCCGGAAGTCTGCCCATTGGAGCAGAGGACCTCTGTAGCACTGGTGCTGGTAGAGGAGGTTTGTGCACAGACGTTTGATTTTTATTCTTGAATTTCTGTCCTAGTGTTTTTTTCTCTCAATGTGTCCAACTATTCTTCCACTTCACCCATGTACTTTTTATGACATTTTGTACCCAGTATGATTTAATGTCCTTCATTCCTCCTAAATGTTTCTGAACCTCTCCTATCCATATTTTAAGCAGAAAGCCAACGGCTCCTCAGCAAAAGTTTTGAGTACAATCCTGGCTCTCTTGCTTCTCTGTCTTGTGCCTGCCAGCATTTATAGCATTGCCAAATTTGTCCCAGCAACATTAACCCCGAAATCCAGAAGAACATCTCTGTGGCTTTTGCAAGGATCGGGGGCAAGGATAAGAAAAATAACGGCCACCTCTGTTTATTGCAGGGATGCAAAATTCCCCACCCCGGGATGCTGTTGCCATGGAAGCAGACGCTGATGCAGTCCAGGAGTTGGCGGCAAGAGTGGACACGGAAGAGGATGCAGTCACAGATGGCAGGGACAGTGTAGAGAGGGATGTTGTACAAATGATCAAACAGGAACCCCCTCTGGACGACTGAACATCAATTCAAGCTCACAAACCCAAATAAGATATCCTAACTTTTATAGCCAAGCCATGTGTGCTCTTCGTTAACTCCTTGTAACAAGACTAGATTCGTTTTAGGAGCTTCCCAACTTATAATTCCGACCCTTTTAGCTTCAGTTATGGCGCGTACCCTGCGTAGGTTTGTAAGTTCTCTCCACGTCAAAGACCCAAGCTAGGTAGGTACATTTACTTGTCGGTAATCAATATTGAACACTAGTGAACAGACTTTGAGTAGAGAAAGTTTATGCCAAGACATTTGGACAAAGTGTTGACACAAAATACAGCTGTTTATTGTTACCTGTTATTTAACAAGTCTGTCTGTCCTTTTTAATGTAGAAGGTTTATTTTCAGCAAACGAGATAATATAAACAAAACTTCAACATTGATGCTCTGCAATATCATGCCATGAAAATGTCATAATTTGATGTTTGGTACGGCTTTTAAACAGTTTCATATGTAAAGGGCTGTATTTGCTTAGGGTTTTTACTGCCAACATTTCAAATTTAATGAAAATTGTATCAAAGTTCAAACCATTATGGTCAAGTAAAACACGTCACAATTCAAGTGTGGACACGGCATAAAAAAAGCTTGATGGATTTTTTATAATTTAACAGAAGCATAAAATGATTAACATGCGGGATTTATGTTAAAGTCAAATCTAAATTTTACACAAGAGTTATTTATATCAAGTGATTTTAATTATACACAACATTATCAGTATTACAATTGTCTAGATTCTTCTGATTGTACAATCAAAATGTAATGTAATCATATTGTGAATAATGTATGCATGCCAAATTGTAAAAGCTTAAAGTTGTCCAAAGAGCCACTTTGTTTTATCAAAGATACGTAGGGGACAACTCACAAACTTCGGACTTACTGCCATCCACAGGGCTGCTCTTCTGAAGTTCTCGATGGTGAAAAAAATAATCCATATTCCTAATTCCCACAATCTGTCAGGACCCAGGTTTACGGTGCTGTTTAACAGTTAGCAGAAAAGTTGTGCTTACTGTAGTAGAATCTTTTGCTTACAATTATCACTATGTAATGGTGGTGCTGGAGTGGTTGCACTTTTGCTTGGTTGCAGGGCTATTCGGATTTTCATTGTTTTGTTACCATGTTAAGCAAATTTTCCAGCCAGGATAAGCGTGCCTTTCGCCATGCTCACTGCTTATGGTCTTCATGAAATACTAGAGCCTCTGTTAGTGTAAAATTGTGTGCTTAGCAGTGCCGTGACATTGTGTCCAGTTGCTAAACTCGAGGCTTTTTCCATTGTACCCATATGCAGCATGGTTGCTGAGGCAACAAGGCTAAATCCTGGCACAGTCTAGCCTGTCCCAATCACCAAGGTTGATCTAACTTGTCCAAATTCTCCTTGTTTCCAAGACCTTTGAATGGCCATCTTGTTTTCACTGATTTTACTCCAGAAAGGAAGGTACATTGATTTCTCAACACTCTTGTAGCTTGGTAAAGATTAGTGAAAATCCTGGCGTCGAAACAAAATTCTGTTGCGCCCCAAATTCAACGGCACTTCAATACACTGAATATTGAAGTTGTGCATGTTTTCTCTTTAAGGGAAACCAAAAAAGGACAACTGTAGAGATGATTTAAGCAGTCAGAGAAACAAACTAAGTTCATGAATATGTTTGATTATAATTTACATAGTTGCATGGAATTGACAGTTTTAGAATCAAAAGAATTAGTCATGACCGACTAAACGATGAATAATTCATAGCAGTATTTTGAGTCTCTGTGGTGTAGATGAGTTTAATGAGCATGCTCGGTCACTGCTTATTAAAATGAATATTGTTTTGACAACTCAAATTGAGTCAGCAGATATGTTGTTTTTTAATCCACATTGAGACGTACTCAAGACAAAAAATTATTTCCTTTATTAAACAAGAAACATGAAAAGGTCGATTTTCATTTTTGTAAGATTTACCTTGACATAGCAAAGTGGGAAAAATGAAAACTATTTGACTTGAGTTGCTTTGGCGGCTCTGACGAATGTGTTTCATGGGATCAAACTCATTTTAAAAAATGCGAGTGGAAATCTGGGACATCTTTGATGTGTTGTCAAAGAGACTGAAGATTTCTTGAGTGGGCAGAATCAGAGTGCACAAGCCTTTATACCAGAGGCATAGCCACGAGGGGCGTGGGGGGTAACCTTTCCCCCCCCCCACAAATTCATGGTGCCCCCATCAAAAAAAACAAAAAACAGATGAGTGGATATTGAACAAGGGTAACATGAACTTGCCCTCAAAAACACACTACTTAAAGCTGGTGCCCCCCCCCCATAAGATGATGGTGCCCCCTTTGTGCCCTTCCACTCGTAAAATCCTGGCTACCACACTGCTTTATACTTTTTGTTAACTCAATATTGAAATGTGCTAGCCTGTCATTACGAAATTACTACATGCACATGAGTAGAATATCAGTGGGTCTTTGTAGGTACATGAATTCAAAAGAAATAAATACTGAAGATGTCGCAGGCAGTCCACATCAGGTAATTTAAGCTCTCGGTTATCAAATTTTTGGCTCCCATGTGAGGGATGAATATTTTTAGATTGAATCATGGTTTAGGGATTTTCGCCTGGTTAATTCAGGTCACTTGACTCTGATTTTACCATACATTTGAGAGTGGAAAATAGTGACAAAACTCCCATCTGCAGTCATTCCCCCCCCCATCGCGGCCCCGCCTACCCATATGTGGAAGAGATGGTCATTTCGTCGAGCGCCCTCATTCTACATGTTTTGCATTAATTGAATTTCCCGAACTTCGGAGGACATTTCGTTGGGTTGGTGGTTTTCTATCAGTGGATAAAATTTTAATAAAAGCAGTGATTCCATCTGTAATCATCGCTATAATTTTGATATGAATCGGTTGAAATAGTGGATATTATTCATTGTCGTGAGAATCGCACTAAAGTATTTCCGAGAGCGATTTCGGTGAAAGAAACCGTACCAGAAAAGAGATCGGCCGTAGTTGGTCGGGACCAATCAAAGAAGTTCTTTCTTTGATGTTCCCTCTGTCGATCGGCGCATGGGCAGAGCTCTGGCATCACGTACGTACGGGTACACTGTGAATGAACATCACAGAAAACTTTGAGATGGGGTCCCCTGTGCATATGAATTTTTCTTTTCCTTTATCGGTGAGTTTTTTCTTGAGTTGCGAGGCCTTTTGTGTGAATGTAGGGCAGGATCTGGTGTAATTCAGCGTTGTTTGGGATTCTGGAAAACAGTGTGGCTGTAGCCTGTTAATTGTTTTCATATGTGGGATAGGCCTAGCTCATCCAACATTGACAAAAAATAAACACTTTCTGTCATGTCTGTCACTCTGCGTAGGCTACACGCCTTGGTGTATTTGGCAGTTTCGTCGTTGCTTTTAACCAGTGTAAACATCTTATTGTAATAGTAATATAAATGCTCAAGTAATCACCGGTGTGTGATGTACTGGATTCATTTTGTTACTTGGGACTTCAAAAATTACACAGATTAGGAGTTCATTTGTATAATTTTTTACAAAAAGACAAGCATGACAAGTGGACTTCACAATTTGAAATTTTGAGTCCGAAACTTTGCCCTTACTGCAGTAGGCATATAGTTTATACCATGTACATGTATACCCTATACTATAATAACTATATCATCAAATTACCTTAGGTCTATCGCCTTAATAAAAATGTGCATGAAGACCATGTTGTAACTTGTATTGTCAATGTATGCAAAGGCCCCCATACATGTAACTTCCTGTTATGGATAGGCCTGGGCCTTCTAACAAAGTGACAAATTTTCAAATAGCTTGAGAGTAGTAGTGACTTGGTTTTGCACCCCCTCAAGTTCAATTGGAAATAATCTGTAACGTTGCCTTTTGCCAACAGTGTGGTTGACAGGGCATGATTCAATAACACTACACCCAGTCAATGTGAATTTTATGATTGGTTATTTACATACGCATCTTATTGTTCTGTTTTAGGTAGGCTACATCAGTAATTTACAGTGTTTTTCCATTTCCAGCTTCAAGACTACAAATCCATACACGTTTGACAAACTTAAAAGTGATTCAGATTCTGAGAAAAGGCCCTGAACTCTGTGGCTCTTCACAAAACACTTCTGGGTCCGGATTCACAATGGGAGACAAGGACTCGATCTGTTGTCACGGCGAGTCGGCGGACGAGGGGCAGATGGAGATCGAACGGGTCATGTCCCCCAGCGGCGACAGCCAGAGCAGACTGGAAGATAACAGAGAGACAGGGATACTGCGGCGATCCAATAGCGCCCCCATGTTTGACGGACCTACCATGAGGTGCGTAGTTATAACCTCTGTGCTTTTCCCTCCTAGAAAAGCCAATCAACGCCCGAACCAGAAGCCTGTTGTAACTGTAGCTTGTTGTAACTGGAGCTTGGTTGGTTTTTCTGATTTGGATTTTTTTATTTATGCGTGCTTTGCAGTGACGAGTCGCCGGTATTTCAACCAATCAGAGAGAGGCAGAGGGTGCGCCGATTCAGCGCCAACATGTCCGGCAATGCCAAGACTGCCAACGTGAGTCAAATTTTCCTTCATTCGGTGCAGGAGTTGCTTCCTCTGTTGTCAAAATAGGTGGTTTCTGTAGCAACACCACCATTTCAGGTTGTCAACCTCTGCGTGAACTTTTGCTGTCCCACATTCATGAGCCAGTTCTCTTGCCTGATCTTAAGGCATTCCATGGAGCCCATCCACCGTCACATTAAAGGGCTCTTTTTATCTCAGTGATGTCATTGAAATGTGCTTGAGTTCAGCAAAGTAAAAACTACTTGACTCAGACTTCGTTTTTTACTAGCACAGAATCGAGACAAGAAATTCTGAGGTCGGCTGATTCCAAACAAATCAACCAGAATGTTGTTAGTCCATCCTTCAAATTGAAAGCCTGCTGCAAACCATTCTTGAATGTATGTAGGATTATCATCGAGGTAATGAAGAAAATGACTTCCGATCTCCATTTCAGGCCAGTACTCCAGTGCGCGTTCCGTCGCGCATCCGGCAGATTCAACAGGAAGAGAGCCTGGACGTGCGGAGCAGAGAGGCCGAACACGAGAGGTCAGTAGGCTCAGCAGGTCTTTTGGTTTAATATCCACCAACGTCGCTGTAGACTGTGTTCTGATATCAGTGTCACAGGACCTTCCTCCAAGTTTGTTTTTTTCTCCACGTCTACAACCAAAGCAACTCTTTGTGTCTCCTCACATTTCAAGGCTTAGAAATAGAGAAGCTACTCAAACCAGGATGTTTAACCAAAACATTCCTCAATCTTTAAATCAGAAAAGAACTGAGCACTGTTATGGTTAACAAATAACTTTAGAACCACCATCCTGCTTTTAATTTCTGAACAACCACCAACACAAATCGATGATCTCAGTTTCTGTTGAGAGTCTTTGCGGCACTTGGGAATCCTTTAAATAGATTTTGTTCACTCTGAAGTCATGAAAACTTGAGTTGTCAAATCCTTATTGTATTCTTTTTTCTCCACCAGAGAGGTGCAGTCTGCCTTTCAGATCAGTCATTCCTGCGATGAAATGAGTTTAGTGAGTACTGGTTTTGTGTGACTCTGTTGAAAGAGCAAACAGATGGAAAGGGAACAAAACGGGGGGGGGATGTGGCTGCAAGTTTGTCAAATGAGCCTAGTTGGAAATTTGACCTTTGAAGGTTGTCCTAAGGCCGTGTCTGCATCAACTGGCTATGGCTCTGGGTAATGCACATGTCTGTGGGAACAGGCCATAGCCGCCAGCCAGCAGCTAGCATAGGGGTGTGTGTGGTTTCCAGCCACAGCCACAACATTGAGACAGAGGCGAAGAAGCTATCAGTTGCTGTGATAGCAAAACAACGGGCTCGGCACTTGCCCCGAACACAGTTTTTTTCTGTGGAGCACATGAACTGTAGTAAGGAGTCTTTCTTAGAGGGACAGATTTGTCACTTGGGAAATTTCTTGCCTTGTGGTACAGGGTGAAAGCATCAAGGCTTTGCGATCAGACGGCAAGACGTTCTCCGAGCCACTGAGAATCCTGACCTCTTCTCTTCCCATTCCGTCGACTCCTTCGCCGAACAGGGACAGAACACCGGGGAAGGTGAGTTCATGGTCGAGTCAGAGTTATTATGGGTTGTTAGCGCAGCCCGTTCACAAACGTGCACCTTGACACAGGTTCGCAATAGAAATTGCTCCTAAATGCCCTGTGAAACAGCAAAGTGTTCACCACAACAGGTAGAGTTACATATTCTCACCACTTAGAGGGTGAAGACGTACTGAGAGGACAGTTTTATCAAAGAAGCAATATTGACACCTATTTTGTTCTTTTCCAGCAATGCTTCTCGCCATCGATGCAGATCTCCATGCGGAGTAATTCACTGACTCCCAGTCCCATCCCCAGCCCTACCAGGCAGACGTCGCGGGTCCGCAGCATGAGCCCCGTACTTAAGCCCAGCCTACTTAACCTCAAGAGAAAATGTGAGTGTCTCAGGAGTTGATATTAGATGCTGTTGTTCAGCTCGGAGAGTAGTCCGTTTGAATCGACACTCTGTGGACGTTCTCTAATGACCTGCGGTAAAGATCTGGTGTGATTGCTCGGAACAGTGTGCTTAGCGTACTACTTAGCTAGGAACGGAAGCTGAAGCACAAACTGAGATGTGTCAGGACAGATCTCACAGGATGTCACTCACTGTTTGATATTGTCAAGGCTCAGTTGTGAGATTTTGTAAGATTTTTATGAAATTGTTCTTGTCGATGTTTTGCTACAGTTCCTTTTCCTTAATCATTAACCTTCTGACGTTCCTACATTTAGATGACAGCGATAGTGATTCTACCCCACCAAAGAGACAACTTCTGTCATCACCATCTCACAACAGTAGCAGCCAAAGGTAATAGTACATTAAACGTCATTCTGCTTTCATGGAGGCGGAGCCTAATTTGAAGCCCTGCTAACATATAATGGACTTAACACACAAGGATCCCCTCCACAGTGACAAACACAGCGATTACAAACGATTGAAAGCCATTGCTAATGTGTGTCACATGCCCATGCAGAGATGGTGCATTTTTGTGCACATTCAAATGAAAGTTGGTTTACATATTTCACATGTGCAGTGTGCATGCCCTGTACACAGGGATTTTTGTAAGTGTTTATACAATTCCATCACAGAGTCCACCAGTAGCGCTTACAATAAGTGCCACACACAGAAATGTTTTTCAAAATAGAAATTGTTTAGAAATTGCACCGTGCACCTTGCTTTCCAGTATATGCAGCCTGAGTTCCGATGACGCCAGCCCCCCTCAGAGGAACCTGGCAGACCCCTCGGCGAGCCTGGCCATCCCTGTCTCCACAAGTGGAGCAGTCTTTGCTTTTGCTATGGGCGACACGCACCTATGACAGTCGGCCTCTTCCATTTAACCCAAAAGGGGAAGCCCAGGTACAACGTGTCTGTGTTTGTGGTTTTTGTCGTCCGTTCATCCAAGATGATTTTGTGTTTTATTTGTGATTTATGCTGTTTTAAAATTTTTGTTCGAAGAGGTTTAGTCCATGGCGGACCCTATAACTGTTGATCAAAACGCTTTGTATAAATGCAACAGATTTAGCTGAAATAATGTCAACTGCATGCTGAGAACGTTACCGAGACTCTTCAGCTGAAAAAAAAAGTAAGCGACATTTAACCATTTTATTTTGTCAGTTGCAGTATTTTGCCAATTTCTCTTCCTGTAGATAAAATTTGAAGTTCTTTGTGTTGGGAATTATTGAGATGAGTGTACTTGGTTCTAAGAAACTAAGATCTTGTTTTGTTAAGATACCAGTTACTCAACATGTAAGACAGTAAATTCCTTTTGTCTTAAAGAAGGACCCAGAGGCGCTGTTGGCTCATCTGTAAACTTTAGTCCTACTCATTGACCTAGCTTGGTTTATCAAGACATTTCCATCAAGTAAAGGACTGTTCACCATCCGGTTCCTACTTTTTTCAACCAGTAATAGTCCCATAACTTAGACTTTCCACCAAATAGTTCCAAGGTTTCGTTGGTTTTTTTTCTTGTTACCATTGGTAGATTACTTTACGGTTTGTGTACAATTGAAGAAGAAAAATACCTTGTATAAAAATGTAAATTTGCCGAACAAAATGACTTTTGTTTGTATAAGGAAACCGCCTTTGTACATGTAGTTATTTTTGTGTGGACATGGTGAAACCTAATTTACATTTTTGATGACCCACCCAGCAATAATTATTGTCTGGTCTCTTGTCCAGTTTGCTTGAGCTGCTGAGCGGAACATATTTACCAGCACATTTTTTCAGCTCAGCAAAACTGAGCCAGATAGTCAGTCATAAGAAGTTCACATTGTGTGGCCATGTTGGCCGGTAACCTGGCTCATCGTACCCAGCTGCTCAACGGAATCAGACCGGGCTGGTATGCGTGACTAACAAAAGACTTTTTGCAGACACTGTGAGGGTGCCATACTCGAGGGTGACAGTGTTGTAATCTGTATACCGTCACCTGAACAGTCACCTGACATAATACATGTAGTCACATGACACAGTTGTCACTGAAAAGCACGAGATAAAAGAATAGCTTACTTCACAGGACTCGAGACTAGCAAATACCTGTGGATACAATTCTTGGTTCTTTGTTTCGGGTAAGAATCATGTAATATGTGAATATAAAATGTTTAAAAGGTGAAATTTTTTTGTAAACATTATTAAGGGGTAGTGCAAACTGTACATATGTGCTTGTATAAATGTAGATAATGATAAAACGTATGTATATTTCAAACTATTCAGAGAGTGGATGATATGTATAATTTATAATCAGACAGTAGTGTACATATAGATAGCCTGCACGATCTACCTGTTGAAACAGTAAGCTGTAGTGATGTACAGCACGTAGTTCATGCATGAGATGTACATATGTATTATACGCAGTACAAAATCGAACAAGAAGTTTGAGTGAATAGTAGATGTACTGACCTCTATCACGTGGCAGATATGTTGCTTTTCTACCATTCAAAGCAATGCAACCAAAGTGAGGCTGGAAAGAAAAATAATCTGTTCCCTCTTATCAATATTTGAAGTTGTATTACCATTGCCCTTGGGTATACAGGGAACAAGACAAACATGGCAGCACCATGGTAAAGGTCTATAACATTAGACATAGGAATATTAAAGATCGCTAGGGCTACATTTTGCATACCCTGTGGACAGCATTATGCTGCCTGTTTGATTGACGGAGATTTCAGAATCTTAAGCCGCGAGTTTTATTTTTGGCCAGAAATTATCGTTAATCTTGTAATTACGAAGAGTTTGAAGTGACAAGAGTGGTTGATTTTAAGGCCTAGTTAATTCTACTGCATTTTATTAGGCGAGAAACTAAACTTGTAGCAAACTTTTCTGGTGTCAGTGCGAAATACAATTAATACTTCTGTAAGTTGACTTGCACATTAAGTGGAGAAACGTATTTTAGGCTATGTACAAAACTTTCCTTGAAAGAAAGATTCCACAGAAAGTGTCATTCTTATCTAGAAATTTAGTGTCAACACTGCAGTTCAGTGAGGTGTCATTTCTGAACAAAAAAAATATGTCGGGAAAGTTTTATAGTCTAAGATAAATAAAATGACAAGCCACGTTATAAAGAATCATACAAGCTAAAACAAAGAATGCGATTAGCACAAGTGCAACACCATCTTCAGATGATATGTATGCTGTACATTTGTTCCTAAGAAAATTAATTGGAATTGGTATTTTCAACCAGGCGCACATTGTAGTGCAGAGGCGTAACATGAAGCCTTGAAATTCCCCCAGTGTTGAAGATTCTGCGCACTCGGGCTCATGAATCGTTTTCATCTTTCTTTTCATATTATTCGTTTGTCAAAAATCATTCAAGGGCATATTTTTGTAGCATGTTGGAAGTTTTTCAGTGGCCAAGATAGTCGTTACATTAGAACAGTATTTTCAAAATACCGGTATAAAACAGACGGCTTGTACATTGTGCTTGACCTCAAAAGACCCAATTTGGTGCAGAACCTCACCTTTATTTTTCTAAAGAGATCATGAAACTGAGATCTTCTTTCTGTGGAGACCGTGTTAAAACAAAGATCAGGTAACGGGTAACTCTGGAGGCGTAGTCTGCTTACCTTGCATCTGTGTTAACATGCCCAGACTTAGCGTGAGATCAACTTTGTGGGCGCCATTTATTTTTTTCCCAAGAATGAACTGATATTATGTTCACCAGATTGCATCCACAATTCTTTCTGATGTTAGGCAAGCCCTCAGAAATAGCAAGTTGCTTTGAACCTTTTGGATGGGTGCTGGAATAATTATACACCAAAGACTCCCCGAGTTTCAGTAGCACCGAGTGCTCACTGACAAAAATGTGTTCCAGCAGGCTTGGCGATGCAAAGGGAGGCTTGTGCTTGATGTTTTTGGAACACTGTTGCATCCCCTTGTATTTTGTAGAGCAAATAAACCTAAGTATGCATGAGTTAAAGCTGTAAATAGAAAGAGAGTTCTGCATGGAAGCAGCTGCAGTTCAGTGATCCAACCTTGTGTTGAGTCACAAAACTGAGTAAAGTACATTAAAAAAAAACTAAGTCTTGAGTTACTTTGAGTGCTGAGTTGCAGTGTCATTATTGTGTGTCGTTTCTCTGGGTATTATTCCGAGTATTAAGTTACTCCGAGTGTTGTTACTCGGTATCATTACTGAGTTGAGTTTCTCTGGTATTGAGTTATTGTATTGAGGAACCCTGATTGTTGAGTTAATCTGGGTCTCAACTCAAAAGTTACTTGGAAAACAATTCAAACCGATGATGCAATCCAAACTGCGTCCGAAATATCGTGGGAGTTTGAATTTCAAACAATTGGCAAGCTGGTGCTGCTGTTTCTGCCCCACTGTAGTACCAATCTGAAACTAGCATTTGAAAACAAAACTACTTCAGCATTTGTACACAAATATATGCATCTACGGGTACGTACATGTACGCATGTCTCGCTCGGTAATGCACCTGTCCAAACTTTTCCTCCCAAGACTTGCTGCAAAATTCCTTAACAGTGGGAAATCCTGAATAGGTAAAAAAAATTCATACCATCAATTAAAACTACAGAATATGCTGATTGACATCTATGCTCATCTGTTTCTGTGTGTGGGTGGCAACAGCCCCACACATTTAATTGACAAGTTATTCATCAGAAAATTGTTCAATCAAATTATTTCTTCGAATGATACCTTGGTTACCGCGACAAACAATTTGGACTACTTTTCATGCGAGATCCTATTTTTACGGCTGCAAGAACCACGCGCTACAGAGTCACAAAGTGCCAAATTGAGGGTCCAATCTCGGTTTTTATAAATAATGCAAGTCCGATACCATTTTGTGAATAAACAGAACAGCACACCCTCTATCAGAATGAAGTAATGCCAGTAATGTCCCTTCTGTAGATTTCACACATGTCGAAAGATTTTGTGTAGGAGATCAGGTTTAACCTCGATTTCCAATCACAAAATTTCCAATGCAAGGCCAATATACGTTAACAAAGTAACCAGCATTTTTATGTCATTCTTCGAAGACAAACTTGTAAAGTAAAAAAATGGAGGGACTTATTTTTTTAATGGCAATCTTTTGTCTCAGCATGTTAATCCGGGAACTTCAATATGTGTAGCAACCAAACAGACTGACCAATGACAGTCTTGCATTTTTACTTTTGTAATCTGCATAATCTGCATAATGACCATTCAAGTTATACGGAGCAAATGGCAGCCTATGAGTCAATTCCACAGATCAGGACATCTGCCCGTACTGCTTGACACACAATGTGGTTTTTTGAAACCCTTCAGAATACAAAAATCACTGATCTTTAAAAAATAATGGACAGCATTCTCAGATGCAATGGACATGTACAGAACTTGATGCTTGATGCCGTCCAAGTACATGTATGTGGCGAACACCAGCTGTGTAGAAGTCTGATAACTGATGGAAAAGAAGGCCCTAAATGATTGGGTCCGACTAGGTCCGTGAAATACACCAGCTGGAGAAGTTTGGCCGTTTCACAGCCGGAACAGAGCCGGAAAACCGCATCGTCGTATTCACCGCTGAATGATACAAGGAAACTTGAGGAACATGTTGCAACAGTCAAAATCGTTGTTTCGGATCGAACGGCGAGGCACAAAATAATAGCATCTTTAACTTCACCGATTACACACGGCTTCTTTTCTGTGATCCGTCACTGGCAATTTCACACCAACAGTGGACGCAGGAGATCTAAAACATGACATCACTCGCTCAACGTCTACACGAATTCACGCTCTTGTTACACCCTTATTGCCTATGTACTGAATGAAAAGTATTTACATGATGAATATGCACAGTTAACGCTGTGGGAATTTACTTTGTACAGGGATGACATTAAACAAAAATGTACCAAAAAAAAAGGCTTTGGTCTATTTCTTATATTAACACATGCATTACAGTGCAATACGGGCGTTTCACAATAGTGCGCCTCCAAGAGCTTGCAACGCGTTGGCCAATCACAATGCACGAAATCTGTGGACCCAATGCGCATTTGGAAATGGTCAACAAAATTTTGAAATGTGAAATGCCCGTATTTTGATTTATTTTCCTCTTTTTTCTTCTTCTTGGTCAATCTCTCTAAAATAATTCTAAGATAAACTCACACTTGCGTGCATGTTGCAATGTTGACCTTGCACCGTGCAGTTACATGTTGCATAGAATTACGTGCACACTTGACACTGAGGCAGGTACAACTTATGACAACTGCTATGAAAACTCAAAGCTTCCTGCGTATGTTACTAACTTACTTCTGATAAAGTGAACATCATTGCAATGTGCGACATAGGATACAGGTTTCAACCACAGAAGACATCGGTTTCTGTAACAAGTCGCATGGATTTATGTCTTTCATCAAGGAAAAGTGCGTTTTTTTTAAAACCAGCACTATCTGGCAGTGACTTCTTTGGGTTTGAATTTGTTTTTCAAAAAAAGAGTGGCATTCCAGTAACGAAATGCATAAAATGTCATACCAAAGTCAATCGAATAATGTGTAAGTTTTCCAGGCTGCCTCGGTATTTCATTAATCACCCTCTGCTAACACGACGAGAGAATCAATGACCGTTCAAGTCCGACATAACAAAGAGCTCCATGTCCCCCTTCTATTGGCAGACTGAAACAGAGTTGCTGAACTTAACGGCTCTATGACTCATTTCACGGGAGCAGGTCATAACATGTCTACTGCAAGCGAAGAATACATGTACACGGTCTTCACACTTTCATTTGGTGACAAATTTTTTTTTTCTGACAAGAAGATAAGACACGAGCACTGCACTGCAATGGTAAACTTTTGAAAAAAAAACAAACAATTGGTTACGAGGATATTAAATCGCCGCAATACGAACTATTAGGAGAATCAACTTATCAAATATAAGTTACACCCTGAGTTAAAGAGTTGACTATTTGCAACAGGCATCAAAACAAATATGAAAAACAAAATATACACAATAACTGGATTGATGAATGCCATTAATAAATCAAATTTGATAGCTTAATCTGTCGATGTGAACTACCAAGTACAAAGTTAAAAGGAGTCACTAAATGTACAACAAATATTAACGATAGCTAATATTATTTACAGTAATTATCTGCCTGTATTAACACGATGGTACAATTTCAAACTCATATTTGTAAAGGCTTTCCACCTTATTTTTTGTATTAATCCAGTAAAGGTATTTTTATTGTTTTTTCCTGAAAACTGAGATACTTTTTCTGAAATTTGCAAATATAAACAAAACCCTGAAGTATATTTAACAGTGTTGTATTGGAGACCAGACACCAGACCAGACACAAGACCAGTCACAAGTAACAGGGTGAGCAATGACAAAGGAATGCTTTTGTCGCAGTTCATTTGAATAGCTTGTGACTTGAATTCAGACTGGAGGTCTTGTGAAGGTCTTAAGTGGTCTTGTGAAGGTCTTAAGTGGTCTTGTGAAGGTCTTAAGTGGTCTTGTGAAGGTCTTAAGTGGTCTTGTGAAGGTCTTAAGTGGTCTCAACTACAACACTGGTATTAAATAAAATTCTAGAAGCACAAAAACCTTCGGAGTCCATTTTTGGTATCCTTTTACACCATTGGTAATAAGAGGGTCGTACTTTTTCTATTGCTCAAGTACTTTTGGTATTGATTTCAGCACTGGATGAAAAATTGAGGCTAAGTTTCAAAAAGCCACTCAGCAGAATTTTGGGCTAAGGCAGGTTGGTCTGGTTACCAGCTAACATCTTGCACCAAGTGTACCGCTTGTACCTGGTTGACAGCTTTCATATGCTAACACCAAAATTTTCCGCTTAGTGGCTGTCTGAAGATGGCACCCGATGACCTTATAACGCGTTGGTGGGCCCTAAATGGCTTCGTTTGGCCAGCGATGCGTCCTCGCCGACGGTACTAGATGTAGATTCCCAGGGCGCGGTGGAAGTCGGTGAGTGCGGCACAGAGCTGAGTAAACTTGGGCCGATCCGTGGGAAGCAATGCCCAACAGCAGGCCATCAGGGAGAATCTGGGGAAAAGGTCAAAGGTTATAAATGCATGTAACTCAGATTCAATGAATGCTCCAAGCGACAGTTGAAATCGACTGTTACTGATGCCGAGCCGGTGTCCAAATTACACGGCTATGGCTGGCGGGGAATATGCATCAACCTTTTCCGTGTCTGCCTACACGCTCGAGGAGGTTATAGTTGTCGAGTTGCTGACGTTAAAGGAAGCCTATCTCTGAAGTCGGAATGTGCTTTAATGTGCTCAAAACTCATGGGCCGTTTTCCAATACTCAACTTCGGCTCCATCTCAGGCTTCAACTGTTTTTTTAACTCGCTGACTTTGAAGCTGTAAGCGCAGTAATTAGTCTAGTGGTGCCACAGAACATCAAATAAGATGCAAGAGAGCCAGAAATTACAGTAATCCAATGTAATTTAAACGCTTCGGGCCCACAATATGGGATTGATTTTGGGAACGAAGCCTGAGACGGAGCCCAAGTCGAGTATTGCAAAAGGGCCATGGTTTACATGAGAAGGATGGCCGAGTAAAAATAAAAAGGATGTGCGTATAAGCAGCTGGGAATAACGTCCGTTTGTTGGGTAATTTCTCTCACAAGACTAACTTCATATTTAATTGTGCAGTCCAAACTGCTTCAGAGGAACCAACATTTCAGAGGAAGCTTCCTTTCACAGTTGGCCACTAGAGGACCACAGCAAGCCCAAATTGTGCCCGGGGCCAGAGTTGGACTCACAGTTCGTCCGGGCAGTTCTGGGGCTGCGGCATCCTGTAGCCACTCTTCAGATACGAGGCCATCTCAAACGGGTCCAGGTCGGCGTAGGGCGTCTGGCCCAGCGTCACCAGCTCCCAGATGAGTATGCCAAATGCCCACTGGAACAAGAACGGCAAAAGGGGATACACGCATGGGTTATAAACGTACATCTCTGGCTGTTAACAATTACAGGGGCGGGAAATGTAATGTGTAATGTGTAGTCTTTTTGAGTGGCACTCGTGATGTGTTAATTATAGCTGAAAAGCTGTAGTGAACCGATGAAGCATGTCATTCACAGGACAGAAGTTTGATTTCTAACATCACTGTCCTACATTCAAGACATTCTGAGCGTGAAGTTAACATCATTATCGCTTTGCTTATTGCTGACAGCATTCACAACATGAATACGTTTTGTAGTCACAGAAAACAGACAGCTCAGCAGGCCATGAACTTATACCCGACCCAGTAAAACATGAGATCGGTTGCTGAGAAACGGGTGGAAAGTTCTGAACAGAAGGGTGGATTCCTGTCAGAGGAACGGGTCTGTTCTCCGGGATGTAAGTTGACCTGACATTTTTTTACCTGCAATTTCAGGCTTTATGTTAATATGTGTTGCGAAAGCATGATCTAAATTTGGAGAAAAAGAAGCCAGAAAACCGGTTTCCATCCTTAGATGTTCTTTGTCTGGACTTACCACGTCGCTGGCGGCAGTGAATTTCCTATCCAGTAAGCTCTCAATAGCCATCCATTTGACAGGCCGATTCTCGTTGTCGCCTAGGCAGTGGTAGTCACTTGGGAACAGGTCTCTGGACAGCGCGTTGTCCGTGATCTTCAAATTATAATCCTCGTCAATCCTACGAAATAAACGACATTAGAAGAACTAGAAATCAAATAAGACAGTACAGCTCAAACAGATGGACATCACATGCTGGTCAACTTAAGTTATCTGCAAAAAATCTTGGGAAAAAAAGCATGAGAACAAGGTTGACAGTCGGTGCATTGACTTACACGCAATTCCTTGTAGCGAGGTCTCTGTGGACTACCTTCCTCTTTCCCAGGTACATCATACCGTGGCTGATTTGTATGGCTAGCTGCACTAGATCCTTGGTTGAAATTGACTGGAAGAAAAAAATACATGACAAAGAAAGACAAGACTGACTTCAGCAGACACGATGCAAAGTTTACTCCACACAGGGGCCAATGTAAGCAGTCTCAGACCCCAGCATGTACAGAAATTCCCCACAAGCAAACCCGAGTGAAGCCCAAGACGGACGCTGACCAGACAGGCGTAGCGTACCTGATGCGTATCGCCCGGCCCCACCCTGCCGTTCCTCAGGAACATCTTCAGATTGCCCAGGACCATGTAGGCGAAGATGGACATGGGCTTGCCGTCCTCCAGGCAGACGTGCAGGATGGAGAGGATGTTACGGTGGCTCAGACCGTGAAGATGACAACTCTCCTTCAGCAGCAGCTTCTCCTGGGTCTCCGACGACTGGTCTGTGCATAATTTGTCCAAAAAAACTGACGTCATTTGTCTTCTGCAGATGCAGGCCTGCAAGCCGGTGTTGTTGTCGAGCCCTTTCAAGACTATCACAGGACCGTCGCAAGACCAACACAAGACCCAACAAGACCATCACAAGACCTCACGAGACAATCACAAGACCAACACAAGACCATCACAAGACTATCACAAGACCATCATATGTCCAATCCAAGACCGTCACAAGACCAACACAAGACCCAACAAGACCAACACAAGACCAACACAAGACCATCACAAGACTATCACAAGACCATCATATGTCCAATCCAAGACCATCACATGGCCAACCCAAGACCAGCGCAAGACCACCATAAGACCATTGCCTGACCAATCCAAGACCATCACAACGCCAACACAAGGCCATCACTGCAGCGACTATTTCTGAGGTCTATGGTAGGGGGTATCAAGTAACATTTTTTTGAACAGGTTTCCAAAAATACAAAATAACCCATGGAAATCAAGGAAAAGGCACTCACAGGCCTGGAAACCTCCAGTAAATGAGATTTTGGTGTGAGCACTAAGTGGCATGGCCCCCAACCTTCTTGTATAAAAATGCATGCACCACTTTCTTGACACCAGTCTACTTCTGCCAGCAATAGCGATTTAGGCTGTGTCCGAAACGGGCTTTCAGAGCTACGGCTACGTCTGGAGACCGGAGATGAAGCCACGTTTGGATATTAAACCTGCGATGCCATTTTGCTGCTCTCAACGTGGCAACCCCGGAAGCTGGAGTAGGGCCAACCAGTGAGAGTGCACCGTCCTTACCTGAGACTGTCTTCACCAGGACATCTTTCTCCGAGGCTGTCTCGTCCTCGTCATCCACAGACATCAGGAGTTTGCCGTGATACACCCTGCCAAAGGTACCTGTTGTCAAAACATTATCCCCCCCAAAAAACCCCAACAAATAGCATGAAACTATCTCCATCATCAGTAAGTTTGAATTCCACTTAAACAACCCTTTGAAAAGTTTCAGCGTTAACCCACTCGGGTTTCACCATTCCTTGCTTATGATAAACTTAAACTTAAGTATTTCCGGGCACTTTTTGGGTGCTGAATGGGTCCACGCTCATTATGAGTCTGGTGCCTCACCTTCAAGAAGCAACTCTTCTATTGTGACTCTACTCCTGTCTATGGTAATTGTGTGAAGCTTCTCTGTGTAGTCCGGTGTCTCTGGGATAGCTGTGTAGATCTGATGGTGGAGACCAACATATCCTGTGCGCAGTGCAACAGAAGACGGTCAGGGAAAAAAAATACGAAACTGGGACTTCAAGTTTGGTTGGCAGGAATTCCTCATTACCAGTTGCCGGGACACAAGGGGACTCCCTATGCCGGGATTCTCTGACAGGACTGACCGTTGGGCGAGCAAACAGGGACCAATTGCAAGGAACAACGTGGCAGGAATCAGGCTCAGCAAAATACCATACTAAACGCAATCAGCCCGGCAGCAACTGCATGCACTGCAACATCACACGATGTTCTGGGATGGTACTCCATTCTGGCTAGACAAATTTTTTTTAAATGCTAAGGAACACTTGTGTGCCAAGCGGCTGAGGGCAGCACCTGCTCCCACTCTATGCACAGTCCGCCAAAGAGTCACCATTTGTTTTCTGCAAGAAGTCACGCGGCACCCTCGTCTGCCAGTGCACAGCTCCTACACAGGTAAATACTTGTGAGACCAACCGCGCAGAGACCAGACTAAAATTCAACCGTCTGCCTGTGTCTTACCATTGGGTGGCTTGACTCCGTTGCTGTTAATGTGGCCGTTCACGACGGGGGCTTTGGTATAAGAGTTTGGAGAGGACTTCTTTGACGCTGTTGATTTGGATGCCGACCGACTGCTGGAGGTTTCACTGCGGGGAAAAGCAATACAGAGAAACATAAAAATATGACATTTCAAAAGAGATTTATAGTGCGGAAAGTGTTTCTCATTTTGGCAAGAAACTTCCAGAGAAAAATTGTAACACTCTCCATTTTTAGGTTGTTCAACAGGCCTACATCATGCTTTGTTTGCATGTGCACATTCTTATGGGGCCAGTGTGGGACCCGCGGTCCTTTGAGCACCATACGAAAAGCTCCAACATAACAAAGTATGGCACCATCAGTACAGAGGTCTATTAAAATTGCACTGGGGTTCCAGTCTACATAAAATTCATCTCAGAACATGAGACGAATCTGATTAAAGATTGCTGTAAACTACCCAGAACTGCTCTGGATTTTTCAGCACAATGCAACTTCCGCTGCGCAAAATGCACTCAACTCCTTGGTGCAGAAATGTTTTGCCTTTAAAAAGGGGTTACTGGCCAAAATGCCATGCAATGCAATTTACTTAAGGGTGGTGGTTGGTAATCTTCTGAGCTTCTGCATAGCATCCAGCCCCAAGCCTGCCCTGGATTTTCAACAACAATGCAACGTCCGCTGCGTACAATTTGCTCAACTCCTCAGTGCTGGTATGTTTTGCTTTTTAAAAGTGTCTCACTGGCCACAAATGCCATACACTGCAATTTCTTTATGGCCGGTACTCTCCTGAACTCCTGATCAGCACGTACGCTCCCTAAGCAGTAATTCTGGTGCACTATCGGGCTCTGGTTCAACTAACCTCACCGGATCGGAGTTTTTCACGGACCGCACGTGCACCACTGCCACCAGCATGACCAGCAGCAGAATGACCCCGCACACCACGCCCACCGAAATGTAGAACACGCTGGTGGAGGTTACCGTCGTATCCGGTTGTTTCTCTGCTGCGAAAACCACCATCAAACAAGAAATATTAACCCCACCACCCTCGATAAAAACCCAACGGCTCTTGTACCATTCTTGTACAATCTTATGGAATGAGTGTTAGAGGGCATCATATGCTTTTCCATGATATTGAAAATGATGCAGGTGACGAGGGAAGTTTTCAGGATTTCCTCAGTCGGTAGCAGGCGGAACGTTCCATTCCACAAGGCGATGGTGAGTGAGTTAAAACATTCCATCAGTCACCTCCAGAAATTATTCTTATCCTTACTCTCACAAACAGGGGCAGCCAATCATTACATGCATTTGGACACTGTGATTGAAATGGACGAGCATCAGTGTCTCCTTTGGTTTGTGCAGTACGGCTCACCAAGTATCACGTCCACGTCTGCTGCCTGGTCCTCGGGCACGGGAGTCCTGAGGTCAACTGGGATGCTGCTGTCTGCAATTCAAATATTGGAGGGATCGTCAAGTGGCTGCTTCAATATTGTTCCGATGGAAAGACCCGCGAAGGACTGATAGGGTGTTGGCGGAAATGACGAGTGAAAGCTGATGCGATCCCGTCAGGCCGAATAGATCAAATTCGGCCCAACGCAGCATTACCACTTAGTGACGACAGATGGTAATCCCACTTTGGAGTTTGATTTTCAGCAGTTCATTCACAGTGTAGGCAGAATTGGTCTGTGTATGACCTTCAGCCGTGCCAATATCATTTTCGCAAGGCCTAAAACCCCTTCACACACAAAAGATTTGCTTTCCATTTTCAAGCTCTTGCGAGCAAAACATGAGCTTTTCATTCTACGCAAATACACTGGCCAAAATATCTTTACAGACCACTGGCAAACCATGTGCCTTTTGATTTTCGAAGCTGTCTTCCATATTACAAAAAAAAAATTTTTTTTAAAGTGCCAAAAATTGTTCTCTCCTCATATTATCTGTAATTTTAATCCATCTCTGCAAACATTAAGTCCCAGTACTCACCCCTCTCGCACATCTTCCTCCTGCGGAAGTTGAGAGAGGTGATGTTCTTGGCCGAGAAGAGCGTCAGGTTGACCTGCATGGTGAAGCCCACCTCCCTGCCCTGCTTGCCAGTGCAGTGCAGCGTCACCGCGAAGGCTGCCGTTGAAGGAAAAAAAAAAAGGAAACCGCCACAGTCCAGTCAATCAGAGACGAGCTGTGCAAAGGGGTGGCGCCTCCATAATCGGGGGTGTGAGGGGCCACTAAAAATTAAAGCTGAAAACGGCTAGCAAATAGCTACATGTAAAAATGAAAGAAGTCCCCATGTGTTTGTACACAGCAGGGGCACAAAAAAGCTGAAATTGAGGGTCAACATCTAAACCAAAAAAAGTTGGAATCAGCTAAAGGGCTGGATTTTCACACCTCTGCATAATTCAGGGCATGTCGTCCTGATCCTGTTAATGGTGCACGGATTCTCCCTCGGCTGAATGCTGGCATTCTTCATGACTTGCGTGTTTACAACAGGGGCTGAAATCCAACTCCTGCTGATATTTCACGTCGATGGAGTGTTCAGTCCTGTTTTAATCCCTCTGCATTTCAATTCACTGCTTTTCTATGGGGTTCTTCAGACAAGCCTGAGCGAATAAACCCATCATCTCCCGTCTTCTCTGAACAGGTTTTTGGTGGGTTTTTTTGAGTAACGCAAGACTACCACGTGGCAGGTGCTTGGAAGATCTTGGCTTCACTGCCATACATGTACATTTTCCTGTAAGTATTCTTCAAATTTGGTCGACTGCTCATGACGCTTGATATTGATGATAGATTATATGCCCCAAGGTGGAAAATTTTGATGATCTACCACAGCAACCTTTCCCCCAAACTCTGTCACACTGTTAAATCTTTTCCATAACTTCCATCATTCCTCGGATTTTTCATTAAACATTCGCAACGCACTTTCCCCACCTTTTTCCATTTAAGGGTGACATCCCCTATCAAATACACCCCTAGGAGTATTGAAGCATCATCTATTTATATGAGCATTTCCTCCAACAAAAACCCAACTGACTACTTTACGCCTTACAAAAGCTTTAAGACAATGCCACTTAGGTGAAGAGGGTGATTACTGGCTATGGCTTAGGGATGCCACTGACAGGACGTCAACAGTACATGTGTCCATAGCCACAGCCACAAAGTGTCAATTTTGACCCAACGGGCGTGTCTGTAAACACTTGTCAATGTAACAAGAGTCATTCGGTCTGAAAACATGAACAGACTCACTTTTCTCTGTCCTTGGCACCTCGCCATCCATGGAAATGTTTGTCCCAGGATGGGACATCATCCAGGTATTGTCCGACTTAAACGACATCGAATAAAACACCTGAAGAAAGAAGGGAAGAGAAGCAATGAAAGATATTGAGTTTCTCCCCCCCCCAACCCACTAGGAGGTACAAGTTGATGTCTCTGATTCCTCAGGGACCAGCCTTACAGGGGACCAGAGAGCAAGCTGGGTCGGGTCTCTTCAGTCATCGAGAACGTAAATGCAGAGGCTGATTTGGACCCCTCTAGTGGCTCCAGTCTTTCGTCAAAGGCAAACATGCACAAAACCTGTTCAAGGAGAATCTTAACTTTACAGAGATTTGGCTTGTCTGGGAAACATCAAAGTAGAATCCCACTTTCATCGAGGACTGCACCTTGATATTCACAAGATCAATTCTTCTCTGCTCGCTTAACGAGCGACATTTCTGCAGCGGCACCATATATCTGCTTTTGCCAGTTGTGTGCAGGAATTCGTACAGAGCCAGTTCCACTTGACATCAAACAATGATCACTTTTTGCCCTCCACTGACTAACTACTTTAAAAATGTAAAAAAATCCAGGCAGGCAGTACAAGAATTCCCAAAGGATATGGTCATGCATCCTCCCCATGTCTGCCCTCTCAGCAATTGGGGGGGGGGAGCTTCAGCCTGCTCATTATCCAAATTCTGAAATACTTTGTCCCTCCCGATGCCTTTCTATTCGCAGTACGGCAAAATCACACCGGCACGTTTTCTTATGTGTCACTGTTCACGTACCTGACGTTCTGTCACCCAGTTGAAATACAACGAGTTGATGTTGGACTTGATGGCCATGTCGTATCTAGTGGCCGAATGCTGGACGTGGTCATCCCTGATGAAGTACAACTCCGCCTCCCAGCCTGGTAAAAAACAGATAAATATTTATTAACACTCTGAATAAATTAACTAATCTGCATTTCATATACATATATCTACTCTACACGTATGTACCTGCATGAAGCACGCTGTTGTGTATTTCATGCATGAAACAAAAATGTACATCAAA